GGCTGGCCATCAGCAAGGACCAGCGCGCCGTGCGCAGCGTGCCCGGCATCCCCATGCTCTTTGCTGCTGAGCGCCTCATGACCAGCTGTCACCTTTCCATCGACCTGGTCATCGGTGACGTGGCCATCACACAGGGCAAGAACTACTGGGCCTGCTGCGTGGACCCCAGTTCCTACCTGGTCAAGGTGGGCGTAGGGCTGGAGAGCAAACTGCAGGAGTGGTTCCAGGTGCCGCAGGACGTGGTGAGCCCCAGGTGAGCAAGGCTTCAGTGCAGGTGCTGGTCCAGGATCCCAGGGATCGTGGTGGGGGGGGGGAACCTTCCTCGTGGACGTGTTCAGCCAGTGCCAGCCTCCCCACGGGGCCCTTCGGCACGTGGGAGCGCAGGGGCCCCAGCATCCAGCGTGTCTGCACCAGGACTAAACCTGTCCTCCTGCCACAGGTACGACCCCGACAGCGGGCACGACAGCGGAGCAGAAGACACAACGGTGGATGCACCTCCGCCCTATGCTTTCCTGACCATCGGCATGGGCAAGATCTTGCTCTCCCACGGGTCAGCACTCACCTCTCGTGACCCCAACGGCTGCACCGTGCCCTTGCCCCCACGCATCGGCATCTGCCTGGACTATGAGCAGGGCAAGGTGAGCTTCTACGATGCCGTGTCCTTCCGTGGGCTCTGGGAGTGTGGCGTGGACTGCTCCGGGCCCGTCTGCCCTGCCTTCTGCTTCATCGGAGGGGGTGCGCTGCATCTCCAGGAGCTGGTGGCCAACAAGCAGGAGCGTAAAGTGACCATCGGGGGCTTCGCCAAGCTGGACTGAGCCGTGCCTGTGCTCCCCGCACAGTCTGCTGTGGCCCCTTCCTACTTGCCAAGCGAGCTCCAGGGCCTGAAGGGGTAACGGGGGGCACGGTTGGGCCAGGAGCAGAGCACGCTGGAGCAGACCCAGCCCTGCCCCGGCTCGGAGCTGGCCACGTGTTTGTTTTGTGGGACGGGGAGGGGGGAGGCTGCTTCGCCGTCCC